AGGATTGTGTTAAATCACTTTTTTTTCTGTTAGATTTACCTGACTGGATTGTGTTTTTATCCCCAAAAAAAAAAAAAATAAAATAAAATATCTTAAGTAATCTGGATAACTAAAGAGAAAAAGATTGCCCATTGTAAAACCATAGTTACATTTGGGTTTGGGTTTGGTTTAAAGGCGCCCAAGCTACATATACAGACACAGACACCAAAGATCATCAACTAATGATTATTACAATTGTTTTGGGTTTGTTTACATGGTTACCTCACCAAAAAATGGAAAAATGAATCCAATGATAATGATAATAATGATGGCTGAGATTGTGAATGATTTGATTACAATCAAAATCAAACCAAAATGCTTTTTTAACATTAATTTGAAAAACCGGAAAAAACCAAACAACCAAACCAAACTAAACTAAACAAATTCATCATCTATGAATCCAATTCAACAACAACAACTAAAAGAACAACAACAGCAACCCGTTAATTACCGTTATAACAACCATCATCATTAAAACAAAATGAACAATGTTGATATTGATGATGGTGATGATGAAAAAATTAATAAAAACATCATCGACATTACCACCATCAATGATGATGATGATGATGATGATTACCTCGACAACCAACACCATAAAGACCACGTTGTTGTTGTTGATGATGATAGAGAAATAATTTACAATAATAAAATGAAAATTTTAACTAATAATCATTATTGTAATAATGATGATGATGATTTAAATAATCATAAAGATGATCTACAACATCATAATTTAATTGTTGTAAAAAAATCTATTACATCAAGCAACAACAACAACAAACGACGATCATCATTATCATCGTTATCATTGACAAAAACAACAGCGGTAGCCAAAAAGAAGAATAATAAGAAAAAAAATTTAAAATTCAATACATTTGTTGATCGAATTTGGAATAGAATGCGTCCAATTATACCGAAATTGGATTTAGTTCCACCACCATCATCAACAACATCGACAAGACAAAATCAAAGATATTTATCAAATTCTGAAAATAATATTGAAAAACATTCGAAAAAATTATTGATTCAAAATGAAAAAAATGATATTTTGATTGATCAACAAAATGGTAATGATGGTGGTGGTGAAGAAAATTCCTACGATACAATCGATTGTAGCGATCATCATCATCAACAGAAATTGTTTCGATCAAAAAACGTTTCAATGGAAAAATATTTTGAAAATGATGTCATCAACAATGATAACAAAAATCCCAATGATGAAAATGATGATCCAATACGAATTGAATTGATTAAACGTGAAAATGAATTGAAAAAATATCGTTTTCTGTTATCAACATTGAATGAATTTCGTTCGAATATTATAAATGGAAATGTTGATCAACAATTGAATGAAAAACATCATGAACAACAACAAATAACCAAAAATGGTAATCGTAAAGAATTGGATTGTATACGACCGAATACAGTGAAAAAATTTGTCAATTTATTTGAAACAAAATTTGCTGATAATAGTGGTGTTGGTGGTGGTGGTGGCCATCATATCATCAAACAACATTGTCAAAAACAATCATCATTATCATCGATAATAATTCGGGATAAAAAATGTCAACAACAATCATCATCAACATCAACAACATCATTGAAATATGATGAACAACAAAGAAAAAATGATAATAATGATAATCAAAATATTTTTTCAAAAATAAAATCCAATGAATGTAATGGTAAGTGTTATTTGTAAATATAATCCTCTTTTAATTTGTATGTAAATGAACAAATGAGCAATAATATAACGGTATTAGATCCAATAGTATCGATATTTTATTTTTTTTTGGTTGTTCATCACTTTTTTTTTGTACAATAACTCAATTGTCATCGAATGTATCCTGACACACACATACACATAACAATAGATCAACATTGGCATCCCGATCATCATCCTCATCATTTTTCAAGTTATATCCATAGTAACATTTACTATTTTGTTTTGTTTTGAGGAAACAAACATTCAAAACTTGTTGTCAAAATCTTTGTGTTTTTCTTTCTATTTCTCTCTATCGATTGTGTGTGTGTCTTAGATAAACAAACAAAACAAAATCAAAATGAAAATATTAATGCGAACAATCATATTATTCATATTACAATTAATATTATGGATTCTTAATATTTATCAAAAAATTTTCATAGATATTCCGAATCAAATTTCGAAAACCGAGCCATGTGATACGACAATATCCAGTAACAACGATGATGATAAAAAAGATGTGGTGAATGATGATGATGATGATGATGAAATTGAAGGTATTTTTCCTTTTTCTTTTCCTCTAAATAACTATATGACTTGTTTGTTTATCTTATAACCAATGTTTTGTTTTTTTTCTCATTTCATTTTCTCATTTCTTTTCTTTTTTTTTTGGCCACGTTTCTTAAAATACAAATGATCAAAATTACCGCCATCACCTTACATATTTACAAACATAAATAACTAAAGAAAAAATTTCCAAAAATAAGGCAATAAAGCAATCATCGATTGAAAGCAAATCAATAATTGATTGTGACATTTTAATATCACCAGAAGAATTGATCAACAACAACAACAACAACGATGATGATGATAATATTGAAGACAATGAAATGGCTTCGATCACCACCAACAACTTAGTTCAAAATGATGATCATCAAGTTGAAAAATCATCAATATCAACACCACCATCATCTAGTCTACATAGATTATGTAATATGTTTCAGGATATGATTGATCAATTAAAAAAAACTGAAATTCATGATTCGGAACTATTAAATGACAATAATAACATAATTGATGATTATGATAATGATAATAATGATGTTAAACAAACATTTCTACATCCAATATCCTATGATGATGACCATGATATGGATGATGATGATGATTTTGACCATGATGATGATAATAAACAAACAATCATTGAGCAATCTGAATTACAAAAACCATCCACTAAACAACAAAAACGAAAACGAATCGTTAGTCCAACCGTATCAATTGTTTTACATGTTTATCATCGTTCTGGTATACGTGGACATCGTATGGGAAGATGTGTTCGTTATTATCGTATCAAATCAAAAAATGCAAAACAATTTATTCGACAAATTGAAATGAAAATAATGAAAAAACAACGTATGACAAAAAGAAATTTGATTCCAAAACAACAATCAAAATTCGAACAAACATCGATTGTTGATGAAACGAATTTAGAAAATCGAAATAAAAGATCACAATCAACAGGTGATGTATTGATTCATTCACAACTTTGTCGTTTGACAGATAATCGTGCACATAGTTTAACATTGGATGATATGGAAATTTTTGAAACATCCAAACCAATACAAGAAGATCAACAAATTGAACAACAACAACAACAGTTAAACGATAATAATCAAAAACAAAAAGATACGGATACTGATTCTACCGCTGATAATGATAATGATGATGATAATTTTTTTCAAACAACAAATGATTTGAATAAAAAACTACCATTACGATCATCATGGAGACGAAAAAATTTCTATAAACGACGTGAATCATTAGATGAATATTTACAACGTAAAGTTTTTAAAATTGACCAAACAAATATTGATCAATCATCATCATCATCATCAACAACAACAACAACAGCAACATCATCATCATCATCATTAATGATGGATAATAATCGAATATTAAAATTTCAATCAAATAATCCATGGTTAAATTATATTAAAACATGTGGACGAAAAATTACCTGGCAATCATTAACAAATGAACAGATTTTAATGTATGAATCAATGTTTGAATTGATTGTAACGGAAAAATCCTATCTAGTGGTAAGTTTATCCAATAAAAATTATCTTTTAAAATTCTTTAAAAATTTTTTTTTTCATTTCAAATCAAAGCGATTGGAAAATTTAATCAGCCTTTTGAAAAGAATGCCCGAATTAGCCGAAATATTATCATCATATGATCAGAAAATTTTATTTGGAAATCTTCAACCATTGTTCAATATTAATCAATCATTATATAATGATTTTGCTAGATCATTTCATGAAGATTGTTTTATGCATCATATGTTTGTTGTATTTGAAAAATATTTTAATGAAAAATTTGAACCATATATTGAATATATACGTGGACAAAATGAACGTGATCAAGTAATGGCAAATAAAAAATTAGCATTAGCTATACCGAAAGATATTAAAATGATGCAATCATCATTTATAACACCAATGCAACGTATTACACGTTATCCATTATTATTGAAAACTATTTTGGATCGAATGAAAAAATTGGAAACAAAAAAATCAAATAATGATGAACAACTAAATGAATTGAAAAATAATGTACAAAAATGTTTTGAATCAGCAACAAAATTTTCAATGCGTTGTGATAATGCATTAAATGAATTGTTTAAATTACAAAAATTAATTGAATTTCGTAAAAAATTAACAGGAAATTTTGCTCATCTAAAAGATAATCTTGTTATTAGTGGTCGTGAAATTTATCGTCAAGCATCGATTAAAATTATTAAACATATTTGTTTATTATCGAATGATGAATTTAAAGATGTCAGAACACATCATTCAATGTTGATTTTATTGACTGATTTATTGATGTTGGCCGATTATAAACAACGAAAGTAAGTTTTTTTTTATTTATTTTTTAGTATTGATTTTCAATTCAAATGTTTCATTTTCGTTTACAGAGATAAATACAAAGTAATTGAATGTGAACGATTAGATCGTGTTGAATTTAGTTGTGGATCATTAGTAACATCATTATCAAATGATGATTCTGGTTCAGCAACATTGAATACGATAAAATTTTTAAAATCCAATCAAACTGATGTTTATCAATTTGTTTTTGCACTCAGGTATGTGTTTTCTTTTGTATGATCAGTGGAAAATCCTAAATAATAATAATTTTTAAATTTCCAATAACCAAAATATAGTGATGAACTTGAACAATTTTTCAATAAATTTAAAGAACTCAAATTCAATTTATTATTGATCAATCAACAACAGCTACAACAACCACAACAATTACAACAACAACAACAACAGCCACAACGATCATTATCATTACAATCAACAACCATAACTGATGACAGTCATCGACAAAATCATCAACAAAAACCTAATCATAAATTAATAATTTCGGATGAAAATGGAAAAATATCTTGCAAAAATCTTATTGTTTGTCCAATAAATTCATTACCAATAAATGTTGAAAATAATGAAAATGGTCATCATGATAATAGTGGTGATGATGACAAAGATGTCAAAGATAAAATATTCAAAGCCAAATTCAATGCTTCATTTTGATATATAATTTTATTTTTGTTTCTGACTTTTTTTTTGTTTTGTAAATATCATGAAAAATTAAACCAAAATAAACAAAAATATTTTCTTATTTCGACATTATTATTATCTTCTTCATTTTCTAAATTTTCATATCTAATCGGAATCAAATTTAGCTTCCAAAGAAAAAACACCCAAAAAGGATTTTAATATTAATCCACATAGATAGTGATGGTTAATCTTGAAAAATTCCATTTCCCTAAAACCTATTGATTAAGTGGGCACAAACCAAATGAAAACTCCTACCACACATATAGGTCGTTATCATTGTCATCATCATCGTCGTTTGGGTATAACCGATCACATTCAAGATAAAGAGAGAGAGAGAGAGAGATAAATCAAAAGTGTTTCTTATGATTGATAGATAGATGTCAAGAAAATCCTGTTTATTAATCTTATTAATTTAATTAATTAATTAATAAAGATTACGTCAAATAACTTGGTTATTGATCATGACCTGATCAAGTGAGCAAGGTAATGATAATGATGATGATGATGATGGTATAAATATTGGATCGATTAAACAATTTTAGACAATCGATCCAGATTCTTTTTCTACTGTATTTTCCATCAAAAGAATATCAAATCGTCCAACAACAAAACAAAAACAAAATTCAAAACAATGAAATTCATTGCATCATTATTCGTTTTCTTTACCATCGTTTTGGTTGGTTAGTATTGAATTTTTTGTTGTAAATTCAAATTTTATGCAAATTAATTAACCCTTGTTTTAATTTATGTTTCAAAAAACAGCAATCGCTGATGATAAAACTGAACAGACAAATAAATTTGTTGATCAAATTATTGGTTCAATAATCAAATCAAAACATTTAGATCCATTAAAAATTGATCATCATAATGTAACTCTTGATCGTAAAATTGGTCTTATTCATTTACATGTTGAAATTGAAATGGAAAATGTTACAGTTAAAGGTTTGGGTCGTATTCATCGTAATGGTAATGCTATTATGAAAAATAGTAACGGTACATTCGATATACGATTACGTTTGAATGATGAAAATGTTATTGCAACAAGTGATTTACATTTGAAAATGGGTAAACTTATACATCCAAATTTGAAAGCTGAAGTCGATATTGGTGATATTGATATAAAATTTCAATTAGGAATGGTTGATGGTAAATTTAAACTTGAACAATTTGAAATTGATGAATTGAAACATTGTAAAGTTTATGTACATGGTTTACAAAATTTGGATAATATTATCGATATTGTAGCCGATGCTTATCTATTAATTTTTAACAAAAAAGCCCGTCATCAAATTAGTGATTTAATACGACCAATTATTGAACATGAAATCCTTCATTTTGGTTGAAAAAACAAAACAAAAAAAAAACAAAAACAAAAACAAAACCAAACACCCACACAATAATAATAATGATAAATAAATAAAATATTTTCAAATTTCAATCGAAAATTAATCTAGTTATTCAAAGAATGCGCATTCCAGATTACATCTTGGATACATAGATAAAAATTCAGATTAGTCTAAATTATCCTTTCATCAATAATATGATTATTATGATGATAATAAATCTTTTATAGTAAAAATATATTACTTTATTGATCATGATCTGATCAAATCGATAATGATATAAATATTGGATCGATTAATCAATTTTTTCAACAATCGATCCAATATTTGTGTATGTTTCAAAGTAATTTTCAACAAAAAAATCGTCCCTTAAAAAAAACTTCAAACAATGAAATTCGTTGGATTATTGTTTGTTTTGTTGGCCATCGTTTTGGTTGGTTAGTATTTTGAATTATGGTTTGTTTTTTTTGTAAATTTATATTAACCCTTATTTTAATTTATGTTTCAAAAAAATAAATAAATAAAGCTATCGCTGATAATACAACTGATCAGGCAAATAAATATGTTGATCAAATTATTCCTACGATTATCAAAACAAAACATTTGGATCCATTAATAATTGGCCATCAAAATATAAAGTTTGATACTTCATATGATTGCATTCCTATTTCGATTAATATTGAAATGCAAAATGTTACAGTTAATGGTCTAAGTCATATTCATCGTAATGGTAATGCTGTAATGAGAAATAATAGCAATATCATAGATATTCAATTACAATTGAATGATGAAAATATTATTGCAACCAGTAATGTGAATATAGAAACTACTTTAAAAAATTTTGATAATTTAAATTGTCAAGTCGATTATGGTAATATTGATATTAAATTTGAATTAGAAAAAAATCATGACCAATTTAAAGTTAAACAATTCCAAATTGATGAATTTAAACAATGTGAAGTAACTGTTCAGGGTTCATCAGAAGTTGAATCATACAAAGAATATTATAACGATGAAGTATGTAAACAGATGAGAGAATTGATACATCCAATTATTGAACAGAAAATTATTTCATTTTTAAAATACACACAATATTATTATTAATAATAATGATAATAGTAATCAAGATGATTATCATGATTATAAATTACAATTACAAATGATAATAATAAAATTATAAGCACTGTTGTTGTTACAAATAAATGATTATTACTTTCAAACAAAATAAAAATGTCTTATTGTTGATGATTTTATAACCCTTTCATATCTAAAGTTTTGAAATATTTTAAATAATTCACACTGAGATAAAAAGAGAAATTTAAAATTTTTTTAATTTCTTTCCCCCCCCCAGAAAAAATGCGCATTCCAGATTATTATAACCCAGAAGATCACATCCAAGATACCAGATAACAATTTTCCATTTTTTTTTATAATTAACCTAAATTATCCTTCATCAATAATGAGAATGGTGATATTTATTGTTTATTTAATTGCTGATCGTTAATTAGTAAACATAACTATCGATTGATCGTTGATCTGATCAATCGATGATGATGATATAAATATTGGATCGATTAATTGATTTTTCAACAATCGATCCAAATTTGTGTATGTTTCAAACAAAGTAATTTTCAACAAAAAATTGTCAAAAAAAAAAATTCAAACAATGAAATTCGTTGGATTATTATTTGTTTTGTTGGCCATCGTTTTGGTTGGTTAGTATTGAATTATGGTTTTTTTTGGTAAATTTATATTAACCCTTATTTTAATTTATGCTTACAAATAAATAAATAAAGCCATCGCTGATAATACAACTGATCAGGCAAATAAATATGCTGATCAAATTATTCCAACGATTATCAGAACAAAACATTTAGATCCATTAAAAATTGGCAATTATGAAATTAGGTTTATTTCTCACCTTCTTCCTATTAATACTAAAATGAAAAATATTACAGTTCATGGTTTGAGTCATATTTATCGTAATGGTAATGCTGTAATGAAAAATAATAGCAATATTATAGATATTCAATTACAATTGAATGATAAAAATATTATTGTAACCAGTGGTTTGAATGTAAAAACTTATATAAAAAATTTTGAAAATTTAAATTGTCAAATCAATTATGATAATATTCATATTAGATTTAAATTTGAAAAAAATCATGATCAATTTAAAGTTTTACAATTTCAAATTGTTCATTTTGAAAATTGTAATGTAAATATTCAAGGTTCATCAGAAATTGAAACGTACAAAGAATATTATAACGATGAAGTATGTAGACAGATGAGAACATTAATCAATCAATCAACCATAATTAGGATTTGATCCAACGATTTGTTTCGCTGATGAGTAAATTAATTAACAACCAATTATTGAACAGAAAATCATTTCATTTTTAAAAATACACACATTTACAATAATGATGACGATGATAATAATAATTAAGATGATTATCATGATTATAAATTACTAATAATAAAGATAAAATATAAAATTACAATCAATGTTGTTACAAATAAATGATTATTACTTTCAACCAAAAAATGTCTTATTGTTGTTAATTTTATAACCCATCCATCCATGGATGGATTGCACGTGTTATTTCAAATGAAACAAAAAACCAGAAAAAATTTTTTTATGATACTTTCTTTATGATCAAAGAATGGCATTCCATCAACCGGTATATATAAATCTGCTGTGGTATTCTTCTCGATCGTATCATCTTTTTTTTCCTCTTGTTTTGGCCATCAATTTTTATAACAATATGATTAAAATTATAACTACAATTATCCTGATTATAACCGTTGTTGTTGATTGTCGTTTTCCACGTATTCTTCAACCAAAATGGTCATATTTAGATTCATTACCGGCTAGTTCATCAATGATGAATGATAATAGTAGTCCGATTGCTGGTGTTATTGGTGGTCAAGATGCTGCCGAAGCTGAAGCACCATTTCAAATTTCCTTGATGAAAGATTATCTTATTATGAAAAGTCATATGTGTGGTGGTTCATTGATTTCAGCATCGACTGTCATTACAGCTGCACATTGTACTGATGGGTAAGATATTAGCTTTACCTTTTTACATAAATGAAAACTTTATGAATGCCTTTCAATCAATTAACAGACAAAAAGCATCATCACTTTCAATACGTTATGGTACAAATAAACGAACATCATCCAAATATGCTGATCTTTCAATCAAACGTATTGTTCAACATGAATCATATGATCCGGAAACCATACAAAATGATATATCATTATTGATTTTGTCACAACCGGTTAAACCAAGTTCAAATGTTGATTTTATTGATATTGAAACCAAAGATATTGGTGATGGTGAAAAAGTAACTATTTATGGTTGGGGTTTAACCGATGGTAATACAAATAATTTACCCGATAATTTACAAAAAGGTTCAATGACAATTGTCGGTAATGATAAATGTAATGATAAATGGGGTTCGGTTAATACTATTCATCCGGGTATGATTTGTGCATTGGATGCAACACAATCTGGTTGTAATGTATGTTTATTATTTTGTTTGTAACCGAATTTTTACAAAAAATTTAACTTAAATTTTTTTTTTGTAACCAGGGTGATTCTGGTGGACCATTAGTTTCGGCTGATCGTAAATTAACCGGTATTGTATCATGGGGACCAAGTAAATGTCCACCAGGTGAATATATGAGTGTATTTACACGACCACAATATTATAGTGATTGGATTGCTAAAAATATTGTTCAATAAACGATTTTGGTAAAATCAAACAAACAAACAAATCAAACAATATCTTTTGTAATTGAATTTACTTGAATTTTAAACAAGCAAAATTAAACATTTTCGAATTTATTTCATTTGAAACTTATAAATTTTGTCGTTATTTTATTACTTTCAATATCAGTATTTTTTTATTTGTTTCTTGTTTTGTTCTTGTTTTCGTTTTGTATTTTGGTTCTTTTTATCAACATTATTTGATTGTTTCAAGTCAAGAAAAGGTGATTAGCAAAAGAAAGTGAAAAACAAAAATATGGAACCAAGTATTGTACCATTGTTTGAAGAATGTTATGTAACCAATCATAATAATAACAATAATAATGCAATGGTTGATGGTGATTATAATCAAAATGGTGATAATAATTATCGTTCAAAAGTTAAAGATCAAAAAAATGATAATATTGTTGTTGCTGATAATAATCAAACAACAAAGGAACAAAAAACAATGACAATGATGGATTTGATGGACGAAACTATCGATTCAATATCGATACCAACATCATCATCATCATCATCATCATCATTTGATGATAGTAGTGATGAATCATCATCATCATCATCATCATCAACATCAACATCATTCGAATCGGTATCAACATGGATTAGTCGAATTGGTGCCCTGTCAAACACTGAAGAAGAAGAAGATGATGATGATTCAGATTATGATGATAATAATGAAACTAATAATAGTTCGATTGATGATGATGATGATGATGATGATTATAATTTTGATGATGTTGGTGATAAAAATTCTTCGTCAAAAGAATCTATTAATGATGATGATGATGATGATTATTCAACCACCAGATCAACATCAACATCAACAAAACACCATGAATCATTGAATGATGATGATAATAATAATGATGATGATATATTTCATTCACCCAAATTATCTGATCATCTTGATGTATCACCATTTACGGCTGATTTGATTCGATTACGTTTTGAACGACAAAAAGCACGACAACAACAACAACAACAGCAGCAGCAACAGGAATATCCAACAAATTTTGATAAAATTATCGAACGATTACAAATGTTGGATTCAAGGAAAAAATTGGCCTTAAACAACAACAACGATAACGAACAAAAATTATTATCGAAAGAAAAGAAAAAAATTCTAATTTCACAACCAAAACCAAGCCGTTTACCAATGATTATTGCAAATTTATTTTTTTAATTTAACAAAATTTTTAATTTAATTTTTTTTTTACAAAAAAAAAATTTCATTTTGAAAATAAAAATATCGACGGTGGTGGTAGCCAGCCGGGGTAAATGCGAAAAAAGATTTGTAAATTATTTTATTGTAAAAAATATTGGAATTATCATCATCATAATCATAATAATCATGATAATGACGATGATGATATTGATAATTTCGAACGACTATATAATGAATTGAATAATGTTGAAATTTTAGATTTATTATTACCGATGAAAAAATCATCAACAACCAATCCTGATGGCGGCGGCGGCAGTGTTAATAAAAAAATAAATTTTGAATTTGAACGACAAAAATGTTTAGCTCAACAACAACAACAACAACAATCATCGTTACCGGTATTTGATGCTAAACCAAATGATGATGAACAAGATCAAGATCAGGATGATGAAGTGGAAATAGCTCGCCTTGAATCATCATTCGATGATGTTGCGCTTTGTCCATCGATCGATTTTTTATTTGCTTCTGACTCATTTCTGATTGATTGAAAACTTTTCTATATAAATATGAATGAATCAACGCTGAACAATTTGATTGATACATCCAACGATCGATCAATGATGATGAGAAATCGAAACAATTCAAATAATTTTTTCATTCAACATTGGCAACAAAATTCCTCCGATAATTTTGATGAAAAATTTTATGAAATTTTCGATCATATGTCTTCACCAACACCATCATCGGCAACAAAAAAATTGCCCAGAACAACAACAACACCACGAACAAAATTGAATAAAAAAATTAATTTTGAATTTGAACAACGAAAACGAATGAAAATGGAACCATTGAAAATTTATCCACCAATCAAATTATCATTATCATCATCATCAGAATCGATTTTGACGACTTTTGACGACGACGTGGAAAAATGTCGACAAAAAGAAGAAGATATTTCAATCATTCTGGATCCAATAATCGATTATCAATCTGAATAAATAATTATTGTTTGTTTTGTTTTATTTATTTAACAATTCTAATTCTAATTCTTTTTTTAAAATTTTTTTAAAAAATTTTATAAACAACAAAAAATTATAATAAAAATTATCGACTACGATTTGATTGCCATCTACCGAACAAAAAAAAATATGATTTAAAGTTTTGCTAATAATTTTTTTCTTGTTATTATCATTGATTGATTAATATGTTCTAAACGTGAACAACCAGATAAGGCCATTGTTTTATCAAATTCATTACGTAGAATTTGTAAAACACGTCGACCACCATCCATTCCCTTGAAGAAAAAAGTGTTAAAGAACAAAATTACGGTTTTTTCCAATGAAATCAAAGAAAAGAAAATGAAATTCAAAACTTACATTAAAAGCAAGACCATAAACCATTGGACGACCAATAAAAACAGCACGTGCACCTAATGCAATTGCTTTAAAAATATCCGTACCACGACGTATACCACCATCCAAATAAACTTCACAACGACCACGTACAACATTAACAATATCTGGTAAAACATCAATTGTTGCCGGTACTGTATCCAATTGTCGACCACCATGATTTGATACCCAAATACCATCAACATTATGTTCTAATGCTATTAATGCATCTTCTGGTGTCATTATTCCTTTGGTTATAATTGGTAAACGGGTTATACTTTTTAACCATCGTACATCATTCCATGTTAATGATTGATCAAATAATTCGCTTGTATATTCTGTAAGACCAGATGTTGGTTTATCATCACTATCATCATTTTGTAAACGTTGAATACGATTTGATTCTTCTAGATCTTTTTGAAAATTTGCCATTCGTAAATTTGCTGGTAATGTAAATCGATTACGTTCATCAGCATAACGTTGTCCCATGAATGGTGTATCAACAGTTAATACTAATGCACGATATCCAGCCTGTTCAGCACGGCCAACTAATTGCCTGGTTAGATCACGATTTTTATAAATATAAAGTTGAAAAAATTTCGGTGAATTTGGTGTTGAACGTGCAACATCTTCCATTGATGTTGTTGATATTGTTGATAATGTCATTATAGTTTGTTCCGATTGACATGCTAATGCATTAGCTATTTCACCCATTTCATTGGCCATTTTTTGCATTGCAGTTGGTGCAACACAAACCGGAAAACTTATCGATATACCTTGAACAGTTGTTGATGTTGATCTTTGGCTAACATCATTGGCTAAAACACGTGGCCGAATAAGAATTCTTTGAAATGCAAGTTCATTTTCACCTAATGTTAATTCATTTGTAGCACCACTACGATAATAATCGAATGCAGATTTTGGTAATTTTTTCTTTGCTTCATTTTCAATATCATCTAGATTGACAACGACCGTATTTACCGTTTTTGATTTCAATGATGATGATCGATCCAAACTTAATACACCCATTGTTGTTTTTCTTTAGTGAAAATATTTTTGGCCAAATGGGTAAATAGGGAGAAAAAAATGATAATCACATGATGCTCATCAAAATAAACCAAATCTAATCATCATCAGCGAATGATTTCATTTTGAAAAATAATCTTTTTTTCGGCTGATAAAATTCATTTTTGAAAAAAAAAATCAAAATCAAAAATGAAACCATCATTAAAATCTAGATGGCGTAACGTGTCTTAATGGTATTTCCTTTTCCTTAATGTCTATTTTGGGATGAATTTTTTGTTCCAGGAAAAATCGAATCAAAAAAAAGGTATGCCAGCGGCTAATCAATAAAATTGACAATGAACAAAATGAACAAAAAGATTAATGTCTTTTTTTCCATGTGTAAAAATCGTTATTATTTGTTTTCAATTGATTGGCCATCATCATCGATACTCATCGATATTATCTTGTTTAAAAACTACAAAAAAAAACGAAATAAAATAACCCCGAATAAGGAATTTATCATCAACTACAACAGCAAACATATGGTGGGAAATTACAATAATGATAATGTTGTATCAATCCAATGATGGTCAATATATAAAAATGCGAAATTTATCCAAAAAAAAACTAACTTAACTAACTTAATTTTGTTGCAAAACGCTCACTCAATCTGCATAGACACACACACACACAAACACAGCTGCAAGCATCTATCGATCTAAAAATTGATCCAAAAAAATCGAAGCAAGGTAACATTCGAAGCAACAACTAAAATAGAAAGATCATTATCATCATCATCATCCGTATGCCAAAATGGACATTAACAATGTCAAAAATGTTTTTTTTTCAACAACATTCAATCGAATGATGATCGCCATTATGTTGATGATAGCAATGGCCACCATCACCATCACCATTATCATCAAACATCGAATAATGATAATTGAAAATAAAACAAAACGAAACGAAACGAAAATCTACATTTCTGCCCAAACACTTACACACCATTATTGTTTTAATTTTCTATTTAAAAAACTAAACTAAAACTAAAAAAACTGAAAAATCTCGATCATAATACACGAATCGCTTGTTGTTTGTTGCTGCTGCTAATAATAATCGTTTGTTTATAAGGATTATCGGCAAAAAAAGGATTTTCAAACATTCAAACTTCGTTTGTTGTTGTTTGTTTGATTTGAAATTAATATGGATTATTTTTTGTTTTGTAAAAAAACGCTGTAATTTTGGAAACAACAAAACAGCAGAAAAAAAGACAATTAAAACGATAAAAACCATTTAATTTTTCTGCTGTTTTTTTTCTGCTTGTTTATTATTATCTGCTGATCGTGAGTTTGTTTTGTGTTTGTGTTGTTTACTCATTAACATTGATTATAATGATGATTATCATGATATCCAATGTGATGAAATATAAAAGATAGCAAGCAACAACAAACAGCGAAGAAGAAGAAATAAACGCAAAACGAAAATGTGAATTTTGGCACGCAAATTTTCTTCTTCTTCGTCGTTGCAAATGTACAATACTTCTTTGGGCCAATAAAGCATATTATCAGTCGAAAGGTCAAGTTTTTCTTCATCGTTGCTGTTGTTGTTTGAGGAAAAAAATCGGACAGACACATAGCGAGAGAGTGAGAAAAGATTGACATTTGATTAGCCAAATGGCACAGGTTAAAGGTTTAAGCTTAGAAGTTAGTTTCGACTAGCACTATTATTAGAGTGATTAGCAGCAGCAGAAGAAGAAAGGAAAGACAAAGAAGAAAACTAATCTTCGATTGATTAGCCCATCATAAAAACGATGATGATGGTCAATATAAAAATGATGATCAAAAAATATAAATTTCGACCGTGACATTTCATTTTCGTTGCTTGTTTTTTCGTTGTTGTCATCGACTTTTTTCCAATTTTTCGTTTACTTTCTTTTGGGTTTTTTTTCTTCGTGAAAATATTCAGAATTCCCAAAACCGAAAATGTTTCATTACGAAACTTTGATTGAAACACCACCTTGTTCAACGGATTTGTCATCATCACCATTACGTTGTAATAATGATGATAATAATCAAACTCGATTGGATTTTACCTATCTACAGGAATTACTTTTATCACAAAAACAACAAAATCAGCAACAAGCATCAAATAATGATAAAATCATTACAAAATCATCAACATTATTATCAAATCGACATGAATTTGATATAAAATATTTAAATATTATAGATTTTTATCGTAATAAAACAATATTAATAACCGGTGCAACCGGTTTTATTGGTAAAGTTTTATTGGAAAAATTTCTTCGTATTGGTGTTTTGGATCGTATCTATGTATTATTACGTTCAAAACATAATAAAACACCATATGAACGACTGCAAGAATTATTGAATCAATCACCTTGTTTTCAATTTAATCGTCAACAATTAAATTTTGATAAAGTTTTTGCTATTGATGGTGATATTACACAAAAAGATTTAGGTTTATCATTTGAAGATCATCGACTATTGATACAACAAGTTAATATTGTTATACATTCAGCTGCATCTGTACAATTTAAAGGAAATTTACGTATATTTATTGAACAAAATGTTTTTGGTACTGATAATATAATGCGTTTATGTACTGAAATGATTAATTTAAAGGTATGTTTATAATAACGACAATAACGTTGATGATGATTTTGTAATCTTTTTTTTTTGTAATGTGTTTATTTCGTGTTTGATGATCATTTGTTAATAATTTTTTTTAATATTTTGGATAGTCTGTGGTTTATGTATCGACTGCATATTCAAATTGTAATCTATCGATGATTGAAGAAAAAATTTATCCAATAAATTATACAATACCATATGCATATGTTAATGATAATATTGATGAATTTATTGATGATATTATGTGGAAATATGGTAATATTTGGCCAAAATCTGGACATCAAGCATTATGGGGTCGTCCAAATTGTTATACATTTTCCAAAGCATTAGCTGAATTATTATTAGTAAAAAAATATGGTAATAAATTACCATATGTTATATGTCGTCCATCAATTGTAACACATTCAGTAGCGGAACCAACATTTGGTTGGTGTGATACTAAAAATGGTGTTAGTGGTGCTATGATTCTTGGTGGTTTAGGTATTGCACGTACAATGATCTGTAAGTGTTAATCTATTCTATGCATTCAACAATGTAATTTTCTTTTTCTTTTCTTCATTTCAAGTGAATGGTAAATGTAATGCTGATGTAATACCTGTTGATTATGTTGTCAATGGTTTAATAGTAGTAGCTGCACATACAGCTATTGTACCTGTTGAACAACGTAAACAAGTTGTTCATCTAACATCAGGTGAACGTAATCCAATAACATGGGGTGAATTATTAAATCGTTCACGTGAATGTGTTGCAACTAAACCATTTTTGAAACAAATACGACCATTAGCAAAAAAACCTGAAACAATCAATACATATTATGGCCGATTATCACATCAAATGACAAAAATATTTTCACATTATTGTTTTGCATTAGTAGCTGATGGTCTGGCAATGATTACTGGTAATAAACCATTTTTATTAAATATTACTAAACGTATGCATTTGGGTTTTGATACATTGGAACCATTTACAAATAATGAATGGCAATTTCGTTCACAAAATTATTTGGATATTTTCTATCAATTATCACCACATGAACAAGAAATATTTCGTTCAGATATTGGTCAAATTGATTGGATGAAATATGTTGATAATGCAACATTAGGTACAAGACGTTATCTACTGAAAGAAGATGATTCAACTATTGATCAAGCTATACAACGACAAAAATTTATTAATTGGGCATATGGTTCAGGTGAAGCATTAGCTTATTTAGGTATTTTTGGTACAATTTGGTGGCAAATATTTTCTGAACATATTGAACAAATGTAATGATGATGATTGATGCAACATTTCTTTTCTTTTTCTCATCAAATTTGACCTATTTCTTCTTTTTCTACCTGACTATTTTGTAAATCAAAAATCAAATCGATCGATATAATCGATTCATTTATATATTTTGCTTAATTTGAATTTGAATTTTTTTGGATTATTTTATGAAAACAAATAAATTTAAATAAATAAAGATTATCATCAATCATTGATTCCATATCGATCCATTGATCGATCATGAAAACCTTGAATACGCCTTCATAATTATATCGAATCAAATCTTTTGATTGATTGATTGATTGATTGAACAAAAAATTTATTCAAACTTTTTTCATTTTATAATAACAAAAATATATACTGAGAAGAGAAGAGAGAGAGTGCGAGAGAGAGAAAAGGGGTGTGTGTGTGTATGGCAGTGTTGATTGTTCAACAATATATTTAGAATATCTGATTCACACACCAATGATGAATCATCACATTATTTGTCCGTAGTAGTTGGTGGATGTTAAAGGGTTAGGAGGAGGGGGGAAAAAACACGAAAAAATTGTTGGGGGTGGACAATGAATATTTTGATTTTGTTGTTGGTGTTTATTATTTGTTGTTGTTGTTTCAATTATTTATGAAAAAAAAAATCTAATATTTGCTGTACAATTTACCAGCACCTAAACCGGCCAAACCATATGAACCGGCACCATAACCGAAACCGGCATAACCAGCACGGCCAAGACCAAGACCAACACCACCAACAAGACCGTTACCTAAAACAGCACCACCACCTAAAACAGCACCACCAACAGCAACTGGACCACCAACAGCAACTGGACCGGCAGCAAAAGCTGGACCTGCAGCAACTGCAACTGGACCGGCAGCCAATGCTGGACCAGCAGCAACAGCAGCAACTGGACCACCAACTAAACCAACTCGACCAACTGGAGCGGCAACGGTAGCAATAGCATTACCAGCTGGAGCACCACCAGCATTTCGGGCAACAAGTGTTTCAATACTTTCTTGTACTGGTTGAACAGTTTGGGTAATTCGTCGGAATGGTGAGATGACTTCACGAACTTCTTGGATGACTGGTTTGTTGACGGTGTGTCGCAAGACATGTGGTTCATCTTGGCTAGCAGTTTCTTGGTACTATAAAATGATGACGAAGATCAATCAATCAATCAATCAATTTGAAATTTTCTTGATGAATACTTACAGAACCAGCTTGACCTTCGTGCATTTGTTGAACATTAAGAGCTGATGATCGTGATCGGAACATCATGTTAACTGGAACAGTGTTGGCACCAATATCAATATTAATTGGAGCAACTGGACCAGATGATGGAACATCATAAACTTGAACGGATTGACGGCTTTGTACAGCAGCTTGAATTGGACCACCAACAGCAGCCAAACCAAGACCACCACCAATCAAAGCACCACCACCAAGCAATGCTGGACCGGCTAAACCACCACCAATCAAAGCACCACCACCAACTAAAGCTGGACCAGCTAAACCACCACCAATCAATGCACCACTTCCTAAACCAAGACCAAGACCATTACCAGCGGCTAAACCATAACCACCGGCTAAACCATAACCACCGGCTAAACCATAGCCACCATAACCAGCAGCAATACCACCGTATTTTGGAACGGCTTGTGACAATGCACATAAACCAGCGACAACTAAAATCTAAAGTTTTATATAGTAGAAATAATGTAAAAAAAACACAAATGAAACACATATGGATAGATGGATAGATAGATAGATGAATGGATGGGCGACATTTAATAAATGGATCATATGGGAAAAAAAATCACCAATAAAAACATACTTTGAACATTTTTGTTTTGTTTGTTTGGTTTGTTGAATATAAAATTCAAAGAAAAATTTTTTATTAGAAAGTTGCTGCTGTTTGATTGTTTGTTCTGGATGGAATCCAAATTGCTTGATGATTTGATTTGAATGAATGTCTAGCCATATTTATAGTCGAAACAAAAATCAAAAATCAAAAAAACTCAATAATGAAGCAAAAAAAAAGCTAAAAGATAAGGAATTAACAAACAAACAAAAAAACTAGAGGAATTGAAAAAGAATTGATGAAGAAATCATGATTTTTTTCTGTCCATTTTTGAAAAAATAAGACAAAAGCCAAAAGTAAAAGTAAAACATTCTAGACAAATCTAAATGTAATGTATAGTTAGCTTTTTAGTTGTATTTTGTTCTACAATTAACTATTTGATTTAAAAATAGGCAGTTTTAAAATTTGTAATTTACATTCTTTTCTCTCTCTTGTTTTTCGTAAGTTTTTGTTTATGCATTTGTGCAAAACACACACACTTTATTAACACGTGTTGCACACACGAGTTTCAACTATATTTTCACACGCTATTTCACTACTATTGTTCCTTCCGAATTTTCCCAAAATTCTCTCTTTTTTGCTTTTTTCTCTTATCTACAGCAATCGTCCAACACACACTACACAAACGCAGACAATTGATCATTATTTATATGAATTTTTTTCATTTCGATTTCGATTTTTGATGGCCAAACAAAAAATTGATATGATTGATTAATTATTCAGTGAAATGAGCTCGATAAAAAGAAAGAAAAGTTTTTTTACCAATTTTAGGAATCAAATTGCTTATTATTCTCCAATGATTTGTTGTAACGATAATGGATAATTTCATCAGTCAAATAAATAAATAAATATTTATCACATCAAAGTGAAATCTATTAATCACTTTACTTTATTGATTTTTTTTGAATGTCAAAAATTTTTTTTTTAGATAAAAACATTATCAATATATGTTTGATACATTTACAAATGAAATGAAAGTCACACTACACAGGTGAATAAAATAAAATATATATTCAAATCCACCTACTACTGCTACGAAGACGTCGAAAATGATAACGAAAAAAGATGATGGACGAATCACTGTTTCGACATTTATGATCCACCATTTGTGGATATGGCGCCCGCACACCACCAACAAGACACTGACTGACAGACTGAATTGATTGCTCTATTTTTTTTTTTTTTTTTTTTAAATTCCAAATATAAAATCGAAATTCACACATTTTGATGATTGACGTAAATATT